GGAAACACCCACCTACCCGACTGACAGATCTCACTATACATCAGCCAATCTCATCCTCCCCTCTCTCATGACAAGGCGCGCACAAGTCCTATCATGAAAAAAGGTTCATTGTGCGACCTGAGTAACGCGCAGTAACGGGGTGTCTGCAATGGTAACTGCGTTATAGTTACAGTCAAAGTAATTAGTTAGATTACTCGTTACTAAAACAAGGTAACGGCGTTAGTAACATCGTTACTTTCAACGCCGTTAGTCCCATCACTGATAACTACTACAACTAATGGAGAAACATTAGTGATATTAGTCTATTGTTGGCTATATTCTGCGAATGTGGAAGGAGTGTTTGGTGGTTGAAGTGTTTGGTGATTGGGAAGTTGGGGTATCGCTGCATAGACTCCTGCTCCTACGACTCGGTCCCAGATAAGTGGTTGACTAAGTGTTTATACATAATGAGATTATGTGTATGAATAAATCTTATGTCCAAATATGAAAGAGGTTCAATCTAAAGGTAAAATCTAAATCCAATTATATATTTTAAATTTAAATATATACCTCAAAACTGCAATTTGAAAATGTATCTTCAAATCCTATTTCTAAACTGTGATTTAAAACCCAAAATTCATTATAAACACTTTTGTTTATCAAATGTTAATAAAGATAATTAATTTTCCCATTTCCATTTAGTTTTACACCTTTATAAAATCTTTTTTGCCATTACATTTTCTTTTTACTATATACTCTGCATTTAGTGTTTCTGGGACCCGTCTTGTCCCTGTCCATTTTCTTAACAGTTTTCTGTTTACATTTATAGCTTTTGTGTCAGACTTCTGGTCCCTGTGGACACTGGCAACCAACTTAAAACCACAGTTGTTCTTTTGATGTGACAAGCTCTCCTACTCATTAACCAGATTTTCTGCTCCACCTGCCTCCTTTGTACACCAGAGAGAGTGGGAACCATTATATTGGCAAACTAACAGTTTCAGTTGTTGATGTAGTCAGCTAAAGTGATAAAATCAACTCTGAGATTTAAGATTTTTATTAAGGATACAAGATATATAGTATGTAGAATAATGATAATAGGTATATACCGGTATTTATATTTTAATTTAAAATAAAAGTTCTAATATATCTAGATTCAACATTTTGGGATTTAAGATTAAGATTTAAGGAATACTTTTAGATTTAGGTTTCAGATATGAGATAAAAATTAAGGTATAAATTTCAGATATAGGTATACATTTAGGATTTAGATACCAATATAGGATGTTGGAGGAGATCTCCATGGGAAAGAGGTCCCTCTGGAATTATGCATTTCTTGTATCTTCTAATGTGTTTTACATATTTCTATTTTTAATCATGTCATAATTATTACCAAACTGTTATCTTCTTCACATGCCCAATTTTGTCGTGCATTCCCGGTTCTTGTATAAGGCACGCAACAGACAGCTAACATTAAGGTGTAGAAAACTCACACATCATCAATGATAATTATCGTCACAGTGCTCTAGGCACAGTGCATGATATGTGTGCACTAGGAGAAATATGTTTAAAGCTGCATGGGTTTGTTAAACCAAGTTCTAATACTGAGGAAAAAAAAAATGTAAAGGAAAATGTAAGGAGCTAAAACCCTAAGTCGAACTTATCACTTCATTTTCTTTAGAACTGGTTTAGTTATTTTGTCTGTTTATTTTATTTAAAATACAATGTAGTTATCTATTGATTTATAGATAAATCTGTATAAAAAATTTAACCCATATTTCTGTCAAATATATTTATGTGGCATTAATGGAAGCACAACCTCTTATTATTTTCCCACCTAAAGCACTCCTAGTGCTGTTTCCTTCCAGTTGAAAGATCTTCCCCTATCCTGTCCTGGTCATATTTATGGTTCTGTTTAGTTTGGTTTTGGACTTATGGACTTAGCCAGTACATCTCACTCTCTCCTGCTAAGGCCACCTATGTCTGTATGCTGTACTTATGCCTGTTTCTATTACTACTGGATCCTATGTGCTCTGCCAGCTGAACTCTTCTAGTTGAGATTGCTTTTATCTCCATGCTCCAGTGCTACCTGTTCCTTGGTGAGTGTCAGCTGCTTACTTGCCTGTTTTGCTGGTTTTTCACTCCACACGGCCTATTGGTTCTGTCAACATCTACATCTCCAAATCTCAAATGTAATTCTGTGTCTGGCTGAACATCGGGTTCCCCTACGGCAGGGGTGCTCAAGTCCAGTCCTCAAGAGCTACTATCCTGCAACTTTTTGATGCACCCGATTTTTAACACACCTGAATCAAATGAGTGGCTCCTTACCACACCTCTGCTGGGCTAAATGAGGGGATTGAGCCTTTTGATTCAGGTGTGTTAGAGAAGAGATGCATCTAAAAGTTACAGGATGGTAGCTCTTGAGGACTGGACTTGAGCACCCCTGCCCTACGGGAAACCGTCACAGTCCTATCCTTAAACCAGGTCCTTTATCTGGTAAAGTGTGCCCCCAAGGGAAATTTAAATAACTCAATTAAAACTTAAAGCTTTAAGATCCAGGGTAAAGGCTTAAAGTTCCTGCAAACGGAAAAGGGACTAAAATATTTTTACATCGCAGCCCTTGTATTCCTGCCTAATACATAATTTAAGTGCATGATAGACCATTTCATAGTTGGACTCCAGCACAGTTAAGCACTAACCCTTTTCAGTGCCATAGGTGTGATCCACATGATGCTTTGTTCCCATTGTGCGCTTCCAGTGACCTCTGTAACTGACATCGTTTTGAAATCCACACCAATCTGAATCAAATCCACATTTATCTGGAAAAAAACAAATGTGAAACTTAAAATGGTATTATTAAATAAAATTTAGATATATAAAGACTATATTTCAGTCAGAGTTGTTAAATACCCTTATTACTGCAGCTTCCCTCTCTAACTGTAATGTCGTCAAGTGCAATGAATCCTTTACTGCGGACATTCCTTTGTCCACTGAACACTATCTGTTAACAGAACCAGAGAATCAAATAGATAGTGGTAATCCTTTGAAGGCAATACATGTTAAAAAAAATGTCTTTTAAGTTATTGTTTGCACTTTACCAAGCATGGTCTTAAAACAAAAGAATGCGTGGTTTTAAAATACAAAGATATTTTAAAATAATCTTATAATTATGGCTGTAGATTTAAAAATAAATTATCCATAACAAGAGCAGCACAGCAAAGTTTAAAATAATCATATACTTAGACAAGAGTTTACCTTAAGTGTGTTGATCAAGCTTACGTCTACTTGAGCTTTTATCCACTCTGGACTTTGGGTACCTTGACGAGTCCAGATCAACAATTCAGAAGAATTCTAAAAAAGGAGGGAATTCTGTGAGAAATGTATTTGGGAAAATGGTTGTAGGAAGTAAACTTCAGTACATACTGTTTGAA